GTCGTAACAAGTACTCATATCAGTAGGTTTGAAGAAATGAATAAATGCATGAATAAAGTCTCTTACCACCTTAAAAAAATCTTTCATGTCTTTTAAACTATGAATGTAGAAAACAAAGATAATTTTGCTTTTGAAAATATTCTTTAAAAAGGAGATGATAAAAAAGGCCCAAAACTATTTGCATCAAATTTGCTTTTCAAGTTTGTTTGTTAAAATCCATCTAGTTCTAGAAAGCCACCCTTGTAGATCTAGAACATGTTACAAATGTGAATACTGTTGGAAAACAGTTGGTTTTGACAAAGCTTCTAAAACTGTATAACATCTGAGAACAGCTATAGGATTATGCTTGTATTTGCTTTTAAAACTTGGTTTTGTATAAAACATCTGAAATTTGTCTGCCTGGAAAAAAATCGATATATGATAAAGATGAAAAAAAAAGTTCAGAGCTAGACCAAGAAAATTAATCTCCTTTCTGGGATGACCACGTTCTTTAGATGTAAAAGTAAACACAAAGAACTCAGAAACTCAATCTATTCTTTCTGACTTCTAGTATATGCATTTTTTATTGTCAATTGTGCCACTTCTACTAATATAATGTACATATTTTGTAGTTGGATGAGAAAACATTCTTTGAGGAATATTTAAGCAAATACTAAATTAGAATTATAAGGCACATGCAGAAAAATCTGAAAAACTCACAAGCTCAATCTTTACTGATGCTTATTATTTTGAAGTATTAAGTGTTGACTTTGTATGGTAAGAATCACCCTAACAATTATTTAAGTTTTAAATGGTTTTAATTCGTGACAATTAAAAAAATAACTTTTAATTCATTATATCTACACAAGGTTATTTACCCTAAATACAAACATCATAGTCTATTTTTTTCCTACTATAGTTCCCCTGCATATGTAAACTTTGAAAAAATGAGATTTGTTTTGGACTACTTTGAACGAACTAGTCAGTATGCATCTGGAGGAAGGGATACCCTTTCTCAATTCACACAGAACCATGTGGTTTAGCTAGTGGCATACTTGAGTGGATAAGATATTTGGTGCATAACCATCTCAAACACAAAAGATTCAAGTGATGGCCCATGAATCCCTAATACTTTTTGAAAATGATATTTTAAAAATTGTTCATCAAAACATATTTATATTTCTTAACCTGTAAACATCCTGTAAGTGCGTAATTCTATCTGTCCTCAAACAGGCTTTGAAGCAACTATATAGCCTTTTATCTTTTAGGCAGAAAGATGCTAATTATCTAAAAAAGATTTTCCCAAATTGCTTGCAAGAACTCTTCAATATATTAAATAATGTCCTTATAAAAAGAAAGCATTGTGCAATGAAATAAGTTTGGTCCATATTGGAATAAACAAAGACAAACAAGTTGTTTCAAGAGAGAACTTCTCGGGGCACCTGGGTGGCTCAGTCGTTAAGCATCTGCCTTCGGCTCAGGTCATGATCCGAGGGTCCTGGGATCAAGCCCCGCGTCGGGCTCCCTGCTCAGCGGGAAACCTGCTTCTCCCTCTCACACTCCCCTTGCCTGTGTTCACTCTCTCGCTATGTCTCTGTCAAATAAATAAACAAAATCTTTGAAAAAAAAAAAAAGTACTTCTCAAGACCTTAAAAACAATGCGTACTGCAAATCATTAATAGGAAAATGTAGTAAGCAGTGTTTGGAAAACTAGAAATTATACAGAAGGCTGTACAGCCCACTGCTCATTTCAGATGTGCTTATCTCAACATTTTCTTGGTTCATAATATACTTGGATAGAGGAAATAAAAACTGTACATGGTATTTTAAGTGCCTATATACTATGATTTTGCATAATGTGGGTAAGATTATGTCATATAGTTTCTTCCTATAGTCCTTTGTGAGAATACTAGGTATTTGGTTCACTTTTAGGATACTGAACACTGTCTTTGGAAGTGCTATAATGTCTTCTAAATCCTTTTGTTGACTTCCAGAATAAAATTCATCTAATGCAATGTGTAATAAAATATTTCTTGTGTCATAGGAAAATTTGACTCAAATATATACATATATGTATATATATATATATAGAGAGAGAGCAAAGATATATATCTTTTGAATATATATATAATGAGAATATAAAAATAAAAATAAATTTAAACTCTTAAATAGATTATAATCGCCTTGAGTGTGTAACCTAAGTATTATACTTTAAGGTAGTGTTGGAAAATAATGATGTCCTTACACATGATAGGAATTCAAAAGTTTGCTGCTTTTTTTTTTTTTAAGATTTTATTTATTTGACAGAGAGAGTACACAGCAAGAGAGGGAACACAAGCAGGGGGAATGGGAGAGGGAGAAGCAGGCTTCCTGCCGAGCAGGGAGCCTGATGTGGGGCTCGATCCCAGGACCCTGGGACCATGACCTGAGCCAAAGGCAGATGCTTAATGACTGAGCCACCCAGGTGCCCCAAGTTTGCTTCTTCTTATTATGACATATAAATACATTCTATCATCATAATTGATCAGACTTGTTCATCTTTTATCCATGAACTTGAATAAATAGAATTTTAAAACCTATGCAGATGTTAGTTAAAAAAAAAAGAAATGAGAAGCAGCATTATATTGAGAATAATCATTCTTCACAGTGTTAGTTATGAAAACAGGGAATATATAAAAGCTGAAGAGCCCGAACCATTGTTTTAATTAGTGAGACACAGCATTTTTATATCGATGTCCTTTTTTTTTTCATCCCATAACCTACTCTCAGGTTTTTACCACATGGTTGATGATGGATGCAGAGTAACTCTGTGTGCGTGTATGTGCAGGTACAGGTGTACTTGTGTGCCTATGAGGATATTCAGGAGGAAGAAGCCTATGAAAAGATAAGGAGACTGAATGTCAGAAGAAAGAGCTACCCATATCCCATATCTGCTTTTTCTTCTCTATTCCTCCTAGGTATTCTAAGAAATCACATGTGTACCACATACAGAGAATCAATCACTGGCCAAAAGTATGGGACTGCAAGAAAAGTAGTTCTTCACGTTAGCTTAAGGGGAAACTTGTTTAGCCGTTAGCTTTAGTGCCTAAATTTACCTAATCCACTTATATATATAAAAAAAACAAAAAACAAAAACTTCTCAGCTCCTATGTGTTCTAAACTGCAAAGAAGGGAAAGGGAAGCTGAAAACAGAAATGCCTCGAAAGAACGGATTTGTCACTAGGAAATTTATTCGTACCTTTTTTAGGTCCACCTCTATCCCCACCACCTTCGATAAGTAAGAAAAGTCATAAGAATCAAGGAGACAAAGAATCCTCCAACTTTTGCTTCTTCTCATAATACGGTTATAATTAGTGTTGATTTGTTAAACTGGCATATTCCCACAAAGTAACACTGGCTCCAATATCAATATACCACCATGTAGTTTCTTCTGAACCCCTTTGTATGAAATCATAGTCCCTGTCGCACTGCCTAAAGTTTCTGTTCTTTGCTTTCTTCCTCAAAAATCACATAGCCAGTTTTTTCCTAAAGATCAAGTTTTGAAGAATACTATTCCTAAAATTTCAGGAGAATGAAAATGGACCCACAAATTATTCCTGCAGTTGGCTAGTAATATGAATTCTATTCGCCAGTAATATTTTAGAGCAAGGGACTCAAGGTGCTTGGCTCTATTTTGAATATAAATAAAAATTACCTCAAGATTTATGGTTTTATAATTGTCTAGTAAGTTGTTTTTAGTGATCAAACGTGAAAAAGTCCTTGTTTAAGTCCTATTTATCAATACTCTTGCTAAATTGATTAGTTTTGAAACATAATCTTATTAATATTTCAATAAAAAGAAACTATTAGAATGATCTTTACCCCTTGATCTTAGGCAGCTCAATGTGATTATGTTCTTTAGCTCCTCTAATTCTATCTAAATTTTAGTGAACTTCATATTCCATTAGGACCACATGCTAAGAATATCAGAAATAGAGATAAGCATGTTCTATTAAACATCATTATCAGTTGAAATTGCTCATGTAGATTATCAGAATATGACACTGTTAATTAACAGTAAGATAATTACTCTCAATTTGTTTCAACAGGGAAATCCAGAAAGAAGGAATGCGCAAAGATATTTTATTGTACATCATCATAATGTGTGGTAATAGATTTTCCGAGTATTAGAAAGGTAATTGCTCCTATTCTGAACATTTATATTTCTTGGGCCTCTCATCAAGCCCCAAATTCCTTCAATGAGACTTCTATTTCTGATATTTCTGGAAACTAGTTAAGAACAAATATAAAATATGCCTTGTTCATATTGAGCCTGCTTTAGGTAAGATGGCACTTGGATTCCTGTGGTCTTTTCCCTTTCAGCAGGGTATTTGCATTGTAAAAAGACAAGAGCACAACTGGTGATTTAAACAAACTTCATGCAAATTTCTTACAACTCATGGAATGTAAACTAGGGATGTGTATTTTGTGTCACATCTGCTCAACCCTACTCTGAAAGCAGACCAACTGCTATGGGACTAAAGAAGAGATCAGTAAAGTACAGCCCATGGGCAAAATGTAGCCCGCTTCCTGCATTTACGAATAAAATTTTATTGGAGTACAGCCATGCTAACTTGTTTGTATAGCTTCCACACTACAATGACATCATAAAGTAAATGCAACAGAGACTGTCCAATATAGCCGAAATATTTACTATCTGGCCCTTTACAGGAAAAGTTTTTTTAACACTGGACTAAAGGATGCTCTGTGGATTTAATCATATTAGAAGAAACTCCCGTAAATGTGACTGAGCAATCTCTAACATTATGACTCCAGTTGTATGCTAGATAGTACCGAATGGTCTGTAGGCGATATTACACAACACCAAAAAAATGCTCAACTCACTCCCATCCCGGTTACGTTAGGGAAATGTTTCTGCTGCTTTACCTAAACTGTATTTTAGCAAGAACATTAAGAAAGCTAGTTGCATTTTTATACCATGGATACAGACCCAGCTTATATAAACAGTATTGCCAACTCACCTGATTCTACCCCTGGGGTGCTCAGATTGCTCTGACATAAAGCTTGTGCTGCTGAGGCGTGAGGCACTGCTGGTTCGGGAAATGGCGGACACATCACTGACATCACTATCTGATGATTTGGCAGAGACGTTATCACAGCTTCTGTACTGATCTTTATGTATGTTATACTAAAGATTAAAAACAAGAAAGTGTGAGCTCCATCATCAGGTTGTGGGAAAAGAGACATACATGGTGAGGTTAATGACTACTTAGCCCATGCCAAGTAAAAGTGTACTTTCATAAAAGTAGGTGTGGAATCTAAGATAATAGAAACACTAAGGTAATATATGATTTCCAATACAAAAATCCTACATCCTCTGAGTCATAAAAAATGGCTTATGAAACTTTAAATGCTTGAGTGGAAAATTCATTGAATAAATTACTGGCATATACTTGAAACTTCAAAATGTCCTTTTTTCCAGTGTATCGGTTTCTCTGTTCCTGCTTTGATTTTCATTATTGCCTGTTTTGTTCAACTCTACTCTATGCGTAGTATAGACTGCTTCTATCTGCTTCTATTTGTTCACCTCTACTCTATGCATGGTATAGACTGCTTCTATCTATTTTGATTCTTTCCGAAACTATTCAATTTACCTATATATTTTCCCTGTTCTAAGACTTCAGCGTTTCAAATTTCTTCAAAAAATGTATCTCTTCACAAAGAAGGGCTGGTATTAAAGTTGAGGGGCTGTGCCAAAGAGGAGTAAAGCAATGGAAGTAAAGACTGGACTCCAGTTTTCTACTGTAGTTTAATTAGACATTTTCAGATTTAAACTATCAGCTCAGTGTCAAAAGAAAAAAAATGGGATTCCTATTAAAATTTGAATATACACTATATGTTGTGTTTTTAAATTTGTCTTTGATATTCAATATCTAAGATTTTAGGAATCATTAGGTAGAAGATTAAAACATGCAAAGTTGTCAGAGCAGTTAATATACTCTTCTTTCTACTTGACTTTTATTGCAGTGGATGACACAGCAAGTAGATTTATGTATTATTATTTAACATATGTGTTTTCATTACAATAAATTGGTTATAAAATAATTACTTAAACTTAATTACATATAATTTAAAAATATCTAATATACTAAGTGATTTCTCTTATTTTTGGTACTGGAAGTTAAGATAATAAACTTATTAATAAAAGAACATATGACTAAACATTGGGTATTTAAGTTTCTTAACTAGGAATTTAATTTTACATTTATGCATTAAGATATGAAAATATCAAATGTTTATTAAACTTGTAGGAAAACTCATCCATCCTCTGATGCTCCATATCAGATGAGTTTTAATGAACCTAAAATAATCCAAACACTATTTATAAAAATTTCTATAAATAATTGTCTTGCTGAAGTACACTAAGTAAAATGATGCTAAAACCCTGGATCTGTATATACAAAAAGAAGTATAAAGCAGTATTTTTTTTTTTAATCCTATAAAAGAGAATCATGTTTACTTAATAATTCCTCAGATAAGAGTAGTTGAGGCCTGAGGTATTTATATGTTAGTTTTAATTCTTCACCTCTCATGTGTATGTATTGGGCAAAGAATTTCACATCAAGTATGAAAACAACTCCAAATTATAGACTATCAATGAAATTATCTTTTCAAAGAATTTTTTTCATAATTGAGTAAGTTGTTTATGAAAGCCATATGTTAAATTATAATCCAAAAGAAAATTCATATATGTGCAGAACTGAGCTACTTCTACAACTTCATGTATGATCTAACATTAATACGATTTAACATAACGTGCATTTTAAAGTAATGTGACAATGTTTCACCATCAAATTCTGTTATATCTTATACCATGATCCTGACATGATTCATTTCAATCAGAACTGTTTTTATCTACAGAGTAGATGTGGTACAAACTAAACACAGTTTTACACAGCTATCCTCACAGCAGGATCTGAATTTAATACTGTTAGTGGGGTACAAATGTAAGTCCTATATTACTTGTCTTGGAAACTATTTTGCTAAGTACATATATCATATAATGATTATGATGTTTCCAAACATACTGAAATGATAGCCTGGACATGAGGGGATATGAAAGAATTGGGTTCTAATACAGTAAAAATTTACCCAGCTGTAGATTTTTTGCCACTGTGTTGACACCCAGAACAAATGTTCCCTTTATTTGGCAAATGCCAATAATAAGCAGTGTAGACCTATAGCATAGGATATGTGAGTATACACAAAACTATTTCTCCAACTAAAGAAATCTTCCTTCTCTATAAGCCATCTCTTCCTCAACATTTTTGTATATAGACTTTTGCTATTTCAGCAAAGAGATTAAACAAGGGATTTTAAAAGATTGTATATCATATTAAGTTTTTCAATGCTGGGCCAAAGAACAATCCATCACTTTAACACAAGATCACAGTTTTCTTTGCATTTAGTTATTTGAAGGAAATGAAAGACTTTTATCTTCACTTTTTACTACTATTATTTACTTATTTTCAAAATCTGTTAGGAGTTTAAAAAATCACTTGATATTTCATCAAGCATAATTTGTTAAATTTCCTATTTAATGATTAAACATTTTAATGGAAATAAATTAATTGTATTTTGAGAAATATAATATCACTGGGAGGAATTTATACTAGTCATACAGCAGGGAAATAAGTCATTGATGTGAGGGCAGATTCTAATTATAGGGCAGCTATTTTTAAAAATAGTAATAAACATTTAGCAGCTACCTACAAAACCCATCCCATCAATCTTGGTTGCTGTTCCTGGGTTATAGAAACATAAACACTCTTTAAATGTGAGTGCCTAAAATGCAAACTTACCCTCCAATTATGAATTTCACCCCATCATTAAGGAATGCAACACTGTATAACATCATTGAAAAAATAGCCTAGTATCACATTTCAGGGATCCTGAAGTAGTCTCCTGTGTTTCCAAAAGGAAAGTTAGTGCCAATTCCCTGCTCAAGACGGGGTTCGGGAGATTCCATATTTTAAAGGAGGTGTCAGGTTTGAAACATCTTAGGAATTATAGTATATTTGTCTGATAATTCTTTGCCCTGAAGAAAATCTAGTTCTATTGGTGTATGGTTCTAAGTATTTTGAGAATGGTTAACTAATTTCTAATTTGGCAGAATTTCGACAAAGGTGTTCATCCAAAATGTCAAATGGATTAAAACACTAAAAAAGAATCAAGAAAGGAATAAAGTTCAAAAGTTAATGAATATTAAATTTATGACAATACTAGTTCTTGATTATATAATTTTGTAAAGTAAATTATAAAACGGTTGGGGAAAAAGGATAACAAATGAGAAAGAACTTTTCTCAAGTATATATGAGATATCTAACTGAAATGCCTTCTCTTGGAAATGAAACTTTACTTAAAATGAAAAACTACTTAAATGATTTCCTAATGAAATGGAACGTCTTAAAAATTTTATTGTAAGCATTAGATCACAATATGAATATTAGAACTGTGGAGGATTTATCTTTTACTTGTCATATAAAATAAAAAATAAGCTAATTATTTGTTATTTAATCTTATATATTTTTCCTATCCTGTTATAAGTTCTTAAAGATACCATATCCTTGGTCTCACATTTATTGATACAATGTCATAATTTTATTTAGGTAACACGGTGGTATCAATTTATACAGTAAGAACAACAGTAATATTAGTTTGAAAATAATGGGTTTTTTAATAGTCAAATGGGATGAGAGAGAAAAAGAAAAAGGTGCAAAGAAGGAAGCAAAGACAGAATATGATAATTTAACTGCTTGCAAATTGAGTCATAGAACTTCTGAATCAAACTGGAATGATGTACATTTCAATGATGTAAGAAGCAGAACACAGCAGTACCTAAGTTTCAGATAAGGAGTTTTAGGGCTCATCACACCACAGAAAGGCTTTACTAATTCTGGGGAAGCCTCAGTTTTCATAAATTTGGTAAATAAGAGAGCTGGAATAGAAGATTAATTTCAGGTATGTTCAGTTCTAAATTTCTATGAGTCAGAGAATATGGTATCTCCCAACCAAGAAAAACCTACCTTTGATTTATTATAAATATTAAGTATTACTGGTTATTTAGGCTTTTTTCCCCCTTAAGATTTATTTATTTATTTTAGAGAGAGAGTGCATGAGCAGGAGGGGCAGAGGGCAAGGGAGAATCTCGAGCAGACTCTGTGCTGAGTGGGGAGCCTGATGTGATGTTTGATCTCACGACCCTGAGATCATGACCTGAGCAGAAACCAAGAGTCTGAGGCTTAACTGACTACACCACTCAGGCGCCCCTAATGTTGTTTAGACTTCAAAGGCACTTCATTTTGTAAATTTTTTGATCAACTGATTGATGATTAGAGTCCTACTTCAGAATGATCCAGAAAGGCTTTAAGTAGTACCCTGATTACCCTGATTGTTTACCTCTTTCTTGTTTCCATACTGGCCCTAACTTTGACTTGCTGTTCTATTTGACCTTATCCTTTCACATAATGCTAAGAAATTAATAAGGCATTTCCAGCTTTAATGAAGCATTCCCAGTTTAAAGAATCTTTCTAAATAACTGCATCCAACTGTTGGAGGAAGAAAACTTAAATTATCCTGCATTCTAATCGCTACTGCATTTGTTGTAAAAGAAAACAAAAATGATGATGATAGTCATAAAGAAGACAGACAAATAAGCTAAGTAATAATAATTAAGAATGAACCACAGAGAAGACTTGTGGACCTGGAATCAGCAACTCTATGGCACATCAAGATATTCCACTCACTTTATTTTTTTTGTTTTGTTTTGTTTTAAATGATTTTACTGTTTGAAGTGTTGTTTCAGAGTCCTAGGGTACTGAGCCCCACTGCATCAGGGAACCTAGGCATTGTCTGAGTTGGAAATCCTCCTACAGCTAACTAAGATTTTACATGGTAAAATGCATCCAATACATAGGACTCTTTGAGTCTGGTGACAAGTCATATTTTGTGACCACCTCTATTTTTTTGTATTAGTCTCTGAATATCTGGCCATGTAAAGATCAACCTCTAATATTTACAAATAAGTAGGTTTTTCTACATTCATATTTCAAGGTCACAATACTGAATTAGTATAGCTTTTATTTAATTTTGAATTTCTCAAAGGTCATTACTTCTAAAAGGGCTTCTTGACATAAAATTATAACAAGTTATTCTGTAAAGACTGCTGCCACTTTTGTAGTATTAATATATACTATATATTTATATAAAATAAAAATTAATATATAATACATAAATAAAATATATATATTTAAAATAAACTATATATTTAAAATTGCTTTATGAGGTAAAAAAATTCTATGCCTATTTTAATTAAAATTATTAGATGCTAGTTAGCAGTTTATAAACTCCTAGTGCATCCTTACAAAATAATACTGAAATATAAATTAAATGTTTTCTTGCCTCTTGAAATTGTGGAGTTCAGTTTCTAAGAATTTGAAATCACTTACTTTTCTTACTAAAGACAGATCAAGAAGAAATCTCACATTGCATAACTTATGTCATTCACTAATAAATCTCAATAGTCAATATCAACCTAAAATAGTATTTAAGACTATAAATCTATGTATATCTTAATATTTTAAATGCAATATTAAATGAGATTCAAGTAATAAAATAGCTTCATATACCTTGCTTATTTATGTGAATTTGACTATTGACAATAGATAATTAAGGGACTTTAATATGAAGTATTTACATTTTCTTTTTAGAAAAAACATTAAATCCCAGTTCACTAATATTTTAACAGAGCTATATATCTTGTGAAAATATCAGGAGGACCGAGGTTATGATGCAAGACCATCAGGTGAATGATAACTTCTCTAACATAACTTGGCACTTGCTAATCCTACCGCTCTACACACTGTACATTTTTAAAAGGGAAACTATTGGTTGGATACTACTAGTTTTACCTTGGAATATTGCTCGCGATCAAGTTCTTGACTAGAACCAGACCCTGTTGTCTGCTTAAATCGATGCACTTTCATTTTCATCTGTCTTGTTCGCTCCTCCACTACTAAGCTTGCTGCAAAAACACACAATGGAAGCCTATTAACACAGGCGAAGCACCTTTTGGAACTGAATGGTTTAAGATTTCAATTCTTTTGATATGATTTCAAGTAAATGAAATTTAGAAATAACACATGACTAATAAACAAAATGCAGAATATACAATGCTAGCACCTGTTAATCTAAAGATGAACATGACTCAAATCACACAAAATGGGGAACACAAATGTTAGTAACAAAATATAAGTACTCTATTTCTTCACCTGATATGAAATATTTTCAATTCCATTCGTAAATGACCATGTGAAATCAGATTCAATCGTGAAAATATGCCTTCCATTTAATCAACTGGTTGTTGCATGTACATATATAGAGAAAACAAATATGCATACTGAACACATCACACATATATGCACATGCTTAACATGCATGCACACACCCACTTAACATCCTCAGCTAATAGCAGTCACCGAAAAATGGTTGTAATTGATAAGCACCTGCTTTTGAGGCATTCTTATAATTTCTACCAGCAGTGTTACTTGAATATTTGCCAGTCTTAAAAATGGCCTAAGAGAAAAAATTGTTTTCTATTTCTGGTGGCTATGTCTGATCACATATATGAAATTCTAATGTTTTGAAAATACAATATAAAATTTTTAGCTCTTTAATTTATAATATGTACAGAAATGCATTACATTTAAGTCTTTCTTAATCTCCTAAGTAGCAAGTGCGACTGTTTAGATGGGAAAATTACAGCCTTTGATAAAATACAAGTTATTTTAAGTCAGAATCCATCATAAGCAGCTTAGCTTCAAGACCATACCATTAATTTATACATTTTTACAAATGAAGGGGAAAAAAGAGCTAAGGGCACAGTTGTGTGTAGAATGAACTTTTCAAAACATACACTTGTGTTGTGTGATACCTATGTTTATTTTTTACAATCTTTTGACAATTTTCCAGACTATTCAACTTTTGTAACCAGTGCTAAGATTTATTTTTAAGTTGTGTATATACACATATTTATGGGGAAAAAAACGTCTTTGTGTGATTAAAGTATTGGGGCTTCTGCCAAGAGGGACTAATGACTTATAAGGATAATATAAATGTTGATCTATGTGACTGACTTGGCTACTACTGATTTCACCTCTTAGGAGGAGTTTATAAAGACACCTGCTGGCAAATGTTTCCATTGCAATGATTAAAGGCCTATCATGCTCGATAAAAGACACTGACACCGATTATAAAAATTAAGTAAATATGTAGCTTTTATTGTGTGTTCAAGTACAGACTAATAGCACGAGAGATAAATACATAGCTTGAAATGTGTGGGTAAATGTTTTAATTATACTTTTAGCATAAAATTATTAGGTGTTTAGCTCTGTTTAAATTCAGTAAATTAGGTAGACGATATCCATTCCTGACATCACAGTTCTGTGAATTAAGCAATGATGCACAATTGCTTTGAAAATGTTGACTGCAGAGACAGTAAATGATGACTATTATGATTAAAAGATGATACAATGGAGATCTTGAGAAAAGTAGTAGAAATTTATTAAATACTTGACAATATAGGAGTCGTAATGAGTACTATAAAGTAAAAGGCTATCTGAGATTAATTAGAAATTGAGACAAAATTATTGAGAAAGATGAGTTGCATTTACCAAAACCATATGCCATACAAGAAAATGTACAAATATCTGCTCTCTGCCTTCTGCCTATGGTGTGGGTACGTCTGGATACTTGCTCAGTCATTTGCTTTGAGCTTTGAGGAAATCAAATGAACTGTATGTAATCAGTTTTACTCTACACTTAAAGCTTAAAGTAACTCATAGCCATCTCTACTTGTGATAAAGCAAACTTAAATGGCAGTAGCTTAATATTCTCACCAAATGATATTAATTTTAAGAAATGTTTCACATTGATTGGCCCATAGCTTTGTAACCTTCACTTTTAGTATCATGAAATTCTTAGGGAAGACAGTTACTTGGCACTGAAAAGATAATTTCCCAAGAACTATTAGCCTGAAGCAATCTGAAACAGTTCTGGGTGATTTTACCTTGCCAGGACAACGCCTCATTTCTCTACATAGGATTACTTAGTTTATGACATGGCTGTATTTAAATCTTTATTTGGAAAACTCAAAACTAAATCATGAGGAGACAGTGGTAGCCTAACTGAAACGAATCCTAAAATGGTTTTAAATGACTTCATTTTGACCTTCCCAAAATGATTAATGCACTATCTTTATTCCTAAAGGAGTGAAAGTTGACTTCTTTTAATCCATCAAAGAAAGAAAATCCCCAAATTTTGACTCAAAATTGCGAGTAGACTCCCTTGACTAGCCAGCAAAAATGTAGTTCCCACGTTATCCTCATGGCCTGCTCTCAGATTCCAAGAACAGAAGCAAGATGCCGATAGCCTATTATTGACTTACTCATATCAAAAGATCAAATAATTACATACAATTCACATTTTTTTAGTAGTTCTCATTATTTCCTTATGGTATGTACATTAGTGTGTATTCTGAAATAATACAAGTGATCGTGTTTCAGTAAAAGTTTTTTTTTTCCATAAACATCAACGAAGAAGCTTCAGTGTGAATTTGGAGAGTTTTTAACTTTTCTACACAGTTTGCTTACTTGCATTTTATGTTTAAACCATCTATTGTCAAATGAAATGACATTATTTCTGAATTATTGGTGTGTTTATCTAAATAGAAAAACAAATATATGAATTAAAATAAAATATCACAAATTTGAACCAGAGGACATGATTATTAATGTATATGATTTACACAGAATAACAGATACGTAGTAACGACTAAAAGTGAATTGAATCCTTGGACTATGGTTATCTGTTGAGTGTCCCAGTATAAGTAAAATTAACACCAGCTCAGAAAGCTCAAGTATCTTACTTTGAAAAGAATGATCATTTAAAATTTTTGTATTGACACTTTTAATGTCAATGCAAAACTAAAATATGGAATATTTTTCAGTTCTCCCACAAATCCTAGCACTAAATTCACATTTTAGGAGCATCCTGGATGTTGGTAGCATTATTGTAAACTAATAAAATCATTAAAATGCCAGTTACTATTCTGTTATAAAAAGAATTTAAAAATTGGGGGACTTCTGGGTTTTAACTTTTTTTTTTTAATTTCAAAACTGCCATATAGTAGAGAGTTAAACCCCTCTCATTTTCTACAACAAATTTAATTATTATGTAATTGCATTTAGTCTTTTAATGGACATATAGCTTAGATACAACACAGTGAAAAAAAGAAGGATGTTTGTTAAGCCTGAGCTTTAGCTATAACTGCAGATAGAGTGATATGAATAAACAATTCTTCTCTCCAAGGTGCAATTAACACTGTAATTTTATACAAAAGTTCTTTAAGTTGGAATTTTTCTCTGTCTTTCTACAAGCTGAATGCTGTGTCTGATGCTGAATAAACTGTGCTTCTTAAAAAGCAGATAGTAACTTAGCTAAAAAATATTTATTGAATTTTATCTATTTTCTTTAGATTCACTTCACTTACACTATTATTTTTAAACTCTGACATTTTTGTATATATGTCAAATATCAACTCAATAATATAATTAAGAAAGAATAAAACTAGAATTTTATGGGTTAATTTAAAACCATACTTAGGAAATCATTTCTTCTAAACTCAACAAGGACTCTGATTGAAGCATGAAATGGTGAGAAAAGTAAATACAATTTTAAAAGTCTATAATTTATCATAATTTTCTAATGGAAAGTATTAGGTATTATTAAAAAGACAGACTAAAATAATTGTTTCTCTTCTTATGTCCCATACTTTGCTATGAATTCTTACTCTAACAGTATGGATGATCTTTGATGAAACTACAAAGAAGCTGAGATCATTTGCAAATACTGTTTGTACCTACATGCATTTCTTCTAGATCTATACCTTTCATAAGATTATTAAAGAGGCCAGTGACTTAAGAAATAATAAAAAAATAAAAAGCTTAAAAATCTTTAGTAAATCTTCTCCCCTAACCCTCACTGAAACCTTCCCTAACCCTCAGTGAACCCTCACTGAAAAATTTCTATAGTATATCACCTTCTGCAAAGAGAATGTAATTTTTTCTGTGAAATTCCTTTGACTTACAGACATTTGTGATTTGCTTAAAAATATTTTAAATATTATAGTTATGTGTAATTTAAGATAATTATAATTTAAGCATTATACATTCTTAAGTATATTTAAAATACTATTCATGAATTTACAATTATATAAAGATAAATTTGCTCTGATCCTCAAATCCTTAAATCTTCATTTCTTCCTATGCATCTACAAATTAACATGAATTTGGAACTTCAAATGTTTGTGCTTACAGGCAAAAAAGAAAATCCATACAATGTATTGTTAAACCTTCCAATACTTTCGAGTATTCTAGGTGAAACATAAGTGTAAAGGAGAATAGGAACAATAAAAATTTCTATATTACTAAATATATTAAAGTAATAACATTATGAGTATTTTACTTTGTAACAGGGTTAGCTGGTACATCTGTCAATGATGACAGAGGATAATGTCGGGACATGATAACTAAGCTTGTCAAGTCAACTACCAAGTCCTATCACACTTTGGGAATAGAAAGACTAAGCCTCTACTTCCTTGCTGTTTAGTAGTACAGTGAGAGTTCAGTAATAATGGAGTCCCATCTTTGCTCCAATGCATGTCTCTGAAGAGCAATGATAAATGACCACATACCTGGAATTCGTCAGGTAGAATGAAATATATAAATGAAACACCTACGATGCCTCAGTTATTGACAGTAGTAAAAAAAATTTCCTTCTCTGAAGCACTTAAAAAAAATCACCTCAAACGTAAGAAACAATATCATATGAAACATGGACATTATAAAGTAATAAAAAATGAAAAAAAATTAGCTTATTGAATTTGTAAATGTTATAAACTATACACAACATGAAGAAAGATAGGTTGATGTTTGAAAATTCAAAAATGAAATACTAGTTTTTACT